TAAAAGTGAATATTTACGCTGTTTTTCAGAAGTTCTTGATCCGTTTGGGTGACTCACCACACAGCCTGCGCACGGATCGGTCCGAGTAGCTGTCCCGGTCGCAGCCCTTGCCGATGTGGCCCGTCTGCAGCTCCACGGTGGCCTGGATGTTCCACACCCTCTCCTCACACGTCTCCAGGTGGAGGTTGGGGAACAGTGGGATGCTGCCTGAGCCTGGGGTGTACTCCACACGCTTAGACCACCCTGAGGGAGAGAGAGGGGCCTCTGAAAGCTGATTATTATCATGATTATTACTAGTGTTATAATGATTATTCTCGTTATGATTATGATTATTACCTATCCAGCCAGGTTTGCAGGAGGGCTTGACGGTGATGATGACCTGGGCGTCAGCCTGCGCTCGATTCTTGCCGCAGTCGAAAGCCGTCACCCAGAAACTATGCACCCTCTGCCTCTTTGAGTCCAAGGGCTCCGTGTTCTTAATGTTACCTGCAGAACGGGAATAAACCCGCTGATGTCATGCAGAGGAAATCTCACTCGGAGAGGGGAATGCAAGGCGTGAGTCCAGCCTGACCCTCCACAGCAGTGTTTCCCAATATGCTTCTTGGGGACCCCCAGACAGTCTACATTTTTTCTAGCTGGGAGCTGGGAGGGAGCAAAAATGTAGACTGTCTGGCAGGGAGGTGGGAGAGAGCAAAAATGTAGACTGGCTAGGGGTCCCCAAAGACCGGGTTGGGAAACACTGTTCTACATGGAAAACGTCTGCAGATATTGAATACATGAAAGTTATTTGATAGCTTTTTGGGGCTTAAATTTCAGGCTCTGTAATTTAGAGATTTTTGCTGTTTAATGATTATGAGGAAAATGGCAGCACATCTCCGGCTGGCCACCATGCTATGGTCTCACCGTCGTTGTCAATGGCGAAGGGTACGTTGGGCGTGATGATGTCATAGAAGCAGATCTGGCTGTACTGCGGCGAGCAGTCAGCATCCAACGCCTCCACCCTCACGATGCGGTCAAAGAGTCGGCCCTCGGGGACGGAGGCCTCATACCGCCGCTCCACGAACACAGGAGAGAACTCATTCACATCATTGACACGCACGTGCACTGTAGCCCTGCGAGAACAAGACAAGGAGGGCAACAGCCGCCAGGGAGGAGTGATTTTCAAGCAGAACATTCATCCATCTTGCAAATACTTATCCAGTACAGGATTATGCACCAATATAAAACATGATCAACACAAACAAAGGTAAACAAAGGCTGAAAACACTAGAGGAACACTGACTGACTAATACACTATGTTGGGTGGGAACGCTGGCTCCCCCTGGTGGCCGGAGGCTCACTTATGTGACTTCTTGCTGTTGGCGCCATCTGGTCCCTCTCCACAGTCGTAGGCCTGGATGGTGAAGCTGTGCTCCCGCTGGCTCTCGCAGTCCAGCGGCTCCTTGGAGCGGACAAGCCCCTCGCCTGTGGAGCGGTCCAGGACCACAGCCTCGAACTGGGGCGCCCCTGACCCAGCAGTACCGCTGTGGACCCTGAAGCCACAGATCTCCCCTGAAAGGTTCAGAATAGCAGGGGGTTAGGGTCACTGAGCTCTTAAAGGGCAACTGTTTCAGAGAAAAGCCTTTCATATTATTGTATAAAACACCAGGCCAGCATATTGTCTCTAAATTTCCCATTAGACTTTTCTACAAAACGCTAATGAACAGATAATTAAATTCTGTTTGTAAGGTTGACGATGAGAGCAGTGATAGAGAAATGAATGGTGTTTCTCTTCACGACAAGATCTGTGAAACACTACCTCCCAAAAGACATGAGACCCTTCCAAGGTGTCTGTAATCCTGTAAGACGTCACGTCTGAGCGGCTCTACTATTTTCAGGATCAGTGTTTCTACAGATATTGTACCGTATGACACCTAGAGGAGCACTTCTGTGCGTCTGTTTCTTGGCAGCTGGGAACAATGCGAGAATCTCAAAAGCACGTAATCCGAAGACACAAAGAGAGAAAGATATAAGACAGTCAGGGGAGGCGGGGGTGGAAGAGAGACAGAAAAGTCATGCCGGGGGTAGGCAGGAGCAGGGAGGCGCATGAGCAGGCATGGGGGGGTGGGGGATGGCCAGTCACAGACAGACCGGGGCCAGGGACAGGTGAGCGGCACCAGGGCTGGTTACCTGCATAGTGTAACGGTGCATCCTTGTCCAGGGCAAAGAGTGGTGGATTGAGCAGCACCGTGTTGTCGTTCTCCATCACGATGCCCTGGTACTCGGTCTCGATCCATGGCTTGTGCTTATTGGCTGGCCGGTGAGGGACATCCAGTGAGTTTATGTCTCATTTAGTCATGAACAGGGACGTAAACAGGACATCCTTATGCATGTAGTGACACGTTCTGGGCAAAGCCGCAAGCGGGCCACACCCGAGAGGAAACAAGGTGACGAACACTTCGCTTAACGATGGGATCTCCCACACAAAAAATATATGGCATTTAATGGACATAACTATCCAGTAACTACGCATCAAACCCATGAAAATGATTGCTCATGCACAAAATAAAAACCAAGGAACTCAAACTTATTCCAAATCACTAGTTGGATCACTAAAATAATGACCTTCTGAAGAATTCCATCACCCTACACGTCATTAAAGATCATTCCAAACCATCCCTCTATGGCACTGAATAGATTTATGTAATGGATTCAGTGTTTAAGTAAAAACACTAAAGCTATAGTTTGCAGTAGGACAGAGCAGCTTTGAGGCCCCAGAGTTACACCCCTATGGCTGTTTTCTTGCAGCCTATCATGCTTCACCTTGGGCGTGTGTTCAGCTCAGCTCACTGCAGCTCAGCCTAACCACAACAGCATGGACGTGTAAGTCAGGGCAAAAGCAAACGCCTCTCCAGTCGCCGGTGACCTGTCTCTCCATCTGTCACCATCCCCTCTCTAATCTCGCTCTCTCTCTGCTGTCCACTCACTATTTTCGACATTCATCCTCTTGTTCTCACAGTAATACAGCACTAATCTGAACATCAGGCCCAAAGGATTATATGGTGGATTACAGACCGAGACACGTTACTTTTGGTCTCACTCTGTGTCCCTGTCCCTCCCTCTCTGCTGTCTCTGTCACACTCAGAGTATCCCCCTAGTCTTGGGGAAACATCCTTTCCCCTGCTCACTGCCTGTTTCTCCCCCTTTCTTTGCATTTCTCTTGTATTCCCCTTGCCAATGTCCATTTTTGTGCCCCGCACAGATTTTCAGCAAGCAGCCAAACACAAATGCAGGCACCTTTCACTCGTTCACTGGTAACACACGTATATAGACGTGCTGTATTCTGCTGACGCGCAAAAATGCCTTAATTTGAACTACAAACTAAATCACGAATACTGCTATAATTCACACGAAAAGAAGAAAAAAAAAAGAGGACAACTCACCTTTGTTGCCATAGGAGACCGAAGTAAAACACAAGATGAGAAAGGAGAGAAGACGCATTCTGTTCATCTTGGGGAGGAAGGGAGAGGTAGAGGGGAGAGGAGATCGGGATATACATGCATTAAACTGAACAATTTTAGAAACAGGTAGATGAGTTGAGAGGAAGAAGGAAAGACAAACGGAAAAAAGACGTTAGTGGAAAACAGTATCCGGGTTACTTGCGAATTAGCGATTCCAGGGGATATTCAGGACTCCAAAGCCATTTCCTAAGGGGCATATATTTGCCCCCAAAATAAAATGATAGTATGACGCTTGGTTCAAATTCAGTATCTTGGATGCTTCACAGGGTCGGCGTTTTTTACTGCAGGGCCCATTGCTCCCATACAGTTTAAATACGCTAACACACGTTTATGGATAAACAGCAAAAAAGACACATTCGAATATTCAGAACCACATGGTTAATAGTTGCATTAATGGTATCAGAAGCGATACCAGATAATTTACAGTACAGTACCATTATAATTATGATATATCACGGATCTGCAAACAGCCTACCCATATGCATGTGGATATTCATGTAGTCTGCGTGTAGGCTGAAATTTACGTACCTTATAATGCAAATCGCATTTAAAAGTACGCTTCTGTGCCACGGATGCCTTAACATCATGGCTTTAATTTGTATAAATTGCATTTTCACATATACAAACGCGTCAACATATGATGCCATATGTAAAATGGGAGACGGAAAGTGCGTCTACGTAAGACATTTAAATACATTTCGATATTTTGATAAATTTACAAATTCTGATATGCTCAAATGCGACAGTAATGAGTCAATTTTCAAAAACACAATTTACAGATATGGCGCAAAGCCGATTTCTACAACACGATCCTTCATGAACGAGCTATATAGGCTGCTGATTATTATTTTTTATCATTAAGGGAAGGATGAAGATTTGGTTTCGCAGTACCGTGTCGAGACGCTTTCGGTACCCAGTGATCGTCCCTCTCACAGCATCCGTGACTCTCCCCCCCGGCCGCGTCTCGCCTTCTTTCGCGGAGGCAAATCGGACTCACAAGGCAAACCTCTTTCTTTTTCAACACAACCTCTATTTTTTATAATTTTAATATGTAGGTCCTGTAATAAGCGCAGCCAAATGGATGCCCTTATTTTCCAGCAGGCGTCGGGTGAGAAAGCGGCGATGCTATTACACCGATGTCCCCTCCCTCTCCGCTTCTCATCCCGCCCACACTGCGTCCTTCTCTCTCTCCATCCCTCCCTGTCACCCCACTCCAGTCTCTCTCTTCACGGGCAGTATCAGAATTCAGACTGGCCGACAGTACGTTGAACCCTACAAGGCAGCGCTAATATATTATACAATTAATTAATCGGCTGATCGGATAATATTAATTTCCACTATTTGTACTCGCCGACTGGCATCAAGGAACTATATCCCGACTTCTCCACCGTACCTAACTACCCCCACCCTCTGTACTTTCCCCACCCAGACTGCAAAATGACGTCACCCCGCCAGAAAGAAGGGAGCGCAGGTACACCCAGAACCAGAAGGGCACAGGCATCGATTTTATAAATCCAGCATTTTAATGAACATTACAAAAGTCTGTTTAAAACGGTGTTCTTTATACATTTTGGTAGCAGTAAGGCAAAAGTAGTTCTCCAGAATAATAATCAACACATCAATAATCACCACAAGTATATAAATATTATCAAAATACTATCATCGTTACAGTGAGTTACAGTCCTCCACCTTTTGAGCATGTAGGCAAGAGGGGTCCCAGCTCACTAGTTATGGATGGATGGCACTATTATCATACTTCCATTCAATAGCAAATGTGGTGTTTTTTCCTTTCCCGCACTTCTCGTTCAATCACAGGCAGCCCAAAGGAGCGTAACGGAGGGAGGGAAGGGAAAGAAATATGGACATGGGGGGTTAACTTTTTCAAGGCCGAAGAAATGAGGACAGACAGAAGCAGTACTGAACCGAACTTCCAAAGCATTTCAACCACCATAACCGTTAAAACATTCGTTTATAATATTCAAGGCATTTTTTAAATCACATGTATACTGTAATACAGTGCAGCGTACTGTAGTGTTTTCGGCAGTAATTTCGTGAACGGCTTCGTCTGCACAATCTTCTATGACATCAGCGTCATTTTTTTCCACACCTACTCGATCATAGAAACCAACTGTATTGTGCATCGGGTCGGAGCCTCATTGGGTTTTACTTAACTGGAACGAACCCGAGGCTAACTTTTTTTTTTCTTTTTTTTTTTTAAAAAAACAGTATTAACCTGTAAATCACATGTGCACTTGTCAACACAACTTTCGGGATCTGCATTTTAGTAAACCTCCCCTTTAACTGACATTCAGGAACTTAATTTCAGTAAACCTCCCCCTCACTTAACTCGATGGATTTATAGTTATGAAGTGGAACAATGGACATTTAAATGACAACTTCTTGCCTCCCCTCCCCCAAAATCTGCCCCTCGTTTAATAATTTCCCCCATTCTCATCCACCCAAAACAAAATATATAGAAACAAAAATTGTACACATAAATATTACTAAAGGCATTAAAATATGTTCTGATCTTTTCATCTTTAAAAGTCAGTTCCCTTCAGGTGAACTCAGATCAAAAGTCCAAACTTGATACCTAAAAAGAGAGAAACAAGTGGGAAAAAAAAACATTTTTATACTACATCCAGATCAGGTACAGAATGTATATGAAGACAGAAACAACAGTCACAGATCCCAGGTAATTTAAGTGCAAGAAATTATTGCTGGGAACATACCTTTATATCTATGCATCTTTTTTCACATCCTCGCCTTTCCGAGGCACTAACCCCTTACGGAGGTATGGTAGGATGAGATAGATGGTGAAGAAGAAGACATGACCACAGAAATAGACGGACGAGTACACCTGAAAGACATGATCAAAGCATGTGTGAATGAAAACTTTCTCACGGCCAAAGGCAGTTCTGAAATAATTCAGGGCTAGCCTGCTTTTAAAGGGACGTGCGTTTAATTAAAGGGGCGGCCTCGCTCATACCTTGAGCCACTTATCGTAAGTGAAGAGACAGAAGGGAACGAGGGGATACGCCATGAAGAGCCAGTGCAGGAGCTGCTGTACGCCATAGATGAGGGGGTAGAGAGGGCTGGTGGCAAGTCGCATCAGCAGTGGACTGTCTCTGACCACAGCCATGACCTGCAGCAGACAAACATGGCCAGAGGGGCATGGCTGAGTGTCAGGGGCGTCGACTTACAGCCATCCAGATCACGGTGGGCTCTGTCTGCCTGCCTGTCTCTCTGTCTGCCTGTCTGTGTCTCCTACCAGCTCAAGCTACTACTGCAAAGGAGAAGTCATGCATCCATATCTCTGACTGCGATCTGCTATTTAATACATTATATTTCCATTATGTTTCTACAGCTTCAGATACAAGCTGTTCACAAAAGATTAAGGAGAGAAAGAAAACACTCAAATATCCTTACAATGTACTGCTGCAATGCCTTACGCTCCCTCCCTGCTAGACGAGGGATCTGAAAGCCCGCAGTGACGGCTGTAACCAGAACCAGCTACAGGTCACATGACACCGGGCCTTATCCCGCTCCCGCTGGCTTCCGTTTAAGGTGAGGACAGACTTCACAATGAATCCTCTCACTTAAAAGCCTCAGAAAGGTCTGGCCCCCACTCATCTCACGACAAGCTGGAACAGGCTCTTTGACCGCAGGATGAGGGATCTTCTTTTAATTCCTAGGATAAATTCAACTTATTTTCATTCAGGGCTTCAGCTAAAGATCCGCTGACTTGCAGACTGCGCTGCCAACCAGGGAACCGGACTGAATCTGGCCTGAAAATGCACCATTTTATCATAGCCCTTTATACAGGGCTACTGCTAACATCCAAGTCACTTCCAGTCACATTTCAATAATTGAACTGATCTCTTCATCCCTCTGGTTCCTAAGGTCTGCACCCAAGGTCATCACTGACTGTCTTGTGCGCACTCAGAATATCAGAGGTTTGTCCAGCAAACTGGCCTGCACACCAAAAAAATACCCCCCCCATACATTTTGGGGAACCCCCCCCAGCCCCTGTCTCCTGGGTTTTTCCACAGTGACTCACATTCCATCCGGACAGAATGTTGCGCAACACAAAGCACCACCACCTTCTGAATCCAAAATCCACACACTGCTATGGTGCAATATGTCGGAACGGAACTAAAGTGTGTATATATAAAACACACACACACACACACACACACACACATACACATATATATATATATACACTCACCTAAAGGATTATTAGGAACACCATACTAATACGGTGTTTGACCCCCT